GGAGGTTGTGTGTAGTAATGTAAAGAGAAAATGTCAGTTTTGACATTCTGTTTCACCCAGAGTTGGTGCTTCTGACATGTTCTTATGGAGGTTTGTTAATATGTATCAGGAATATTCACTTTTCTTTGTTCGCCCTTGTCTGGCAAGCTGTAATATTTTTCTTATGAATATTGATATATGAAGTGTATATTAATGACCCTTGGTGACCTTAACCCTATCCTTATTGGCTCCCTGGTGGTATCTGCAGGCTCATGAATATTAATCTAGTTCTGTAACCTCCATTACCCTAATCTTTGCTGTCTAGCCTCCCAGAAGGACCTGTTGTCATGGTAACCCTTTTACTAGGCTCTTCCAGGCCAAGGGTGGGAAAAATGTGGTTTAAAAAAAAAGGGACAGAAAAACTAAATTACACAGAACTCTTGGATGTGCCATGTGGAAAGCTGCCATTATATATAAAAAGCGTGAAATTTAGACTGGGAGTCATCTTTAGTGGTCTGCTGGTTGAATTTCTTTTTCTTAAGTCAGTTAAAATTGTGCTTTGCAAAGTTTTCTTCTTCTAGTTCAGAATTGCTTTGCTCATAGAGACAACGTTGTACATTTGCCTTATCGCTCCTAAACAATGCGAGCAATTCGACGTAACCTCTTTGGACTGCATGAATTCTTTAATTTTCCTCTCTTCCTACAGATGTGGACGGCAACGAGGATGGAGGGGCCGATGGGGGTGCTGTTGAGGAGGAAGGCTGGTTTGGGAACGCCTCTGATACGCGCTCAGAGTCGTCCTCTTTCGGAGACGGCCCAGATGATCTCCTCCTGCACAGAGGGTCCTCTCCTGACGAGCAGCCCGGGCTCAGCGCCGGGCCCGGGGATCACGACGCCTGCGGAGTGGAGAGCGCACTGGGCTGCTCGACACCAATCCACCCTGCCTCTTTGGAACTTCTCGGCCTGGACGGAGGTGCATTCTCGGCCCAGGACACACTCTCTTCTGTGGTGTCGTCGCTGTACGGTGAGACAGCATCTCGAGCCCTGGGAAAGCCCCTCAGCAGCAACCTGCGGCGCCTCCTAGAAGCCGGGTCGCTCAAACTTGATACCGGGGACGCCCTCGGCCGTTCATCCCGGGGAAGTGCCGGGGGGGAATCGCCTCCGATTGCTCTGGCCCCACCATTGACCCTCTCCCCATCGTCCCACCATGCCCAACAGTTAAGTGCTCTTGCCCGAAAACTTGCCAATAACCACAACAATAGCGGCTCTGCCTCGCCGGCCTCCTTGGCACCCTCGATCACCAACATTAAGCAAGAGCCTCTTGATCCCTTTAACTCTGTTAACCCTAGCAATGGCAGTGGCTTTGTATGGGCAGGTGTAGCGGATAAGTGGCCGCCGGCCGCATGCTCTACGCCCTGTGGCTCCAGCCTGTCCCCCGACTCGGCAATCCAGAAGTTAAAAGCAGCAGCCAATGCCGTTCTTCAAGACAAGAACGCGGTGGCTTCTTCTTCGACAACATCCTCCTCTTCCTCCACCTCTGCCTCGTCTGCAGTGCCCGCCCTGGGTGGCGGTGGCCGAGGGGATGACGTGGTGCGCTTTGATGCCTTCAACTCTCCATTTAGCCCGCAGTCAGCCAGCTCTACGCTCGCTGCTCTTTCCAAGAAAGTCAGCGAGAGGAGCCAGGCGTCGTCGACCGCCAGCGCAGCTTCAGACCACCAGGCCTCAGCGAGTTCCTTTCTCTCGCTTGTGTCGATGACCTCCTCGGCTGCCTTGTTGAAAGAAGTGGCAGCCAGAGCGGCAGGAAACCTACTGGCAGAGAAGAAGGAAGGTTCCCCCTTGGCACCTGCAGGGGCCCTCCAAGAGGATGTGAAGCCCCTGCTGGACAAGAACCAGAAGGCCTCGGCGCCCTCGACTCCCACCCAGAGCCTAGAGCTGCTGATGCCCTCTACTCCAAAGGGCAGAGGCAAACCAAACAACCAAGCAGGTAATCCAAATTCACATTAAAGCCATCATACTTGTGTAAAGACATGTGGGTTGACAATCTGCTTATCAAAAGCAACACCCGCTCCAACAGCTCCTACTGTGCAGCTCATCCACCGGTGTTTTGAAAGTCATATCTAACTTTCCTTTTGAAGGGAAAGACATGACCGGGCTGTCCCTGCCCCTCACTGGTTTGTACTAGTTGCCATAAAAAATTGAATTATTAGGTTCATGTGTGATCCTCAAGGCCCACACGTTTTATACTTGTGCACTGATTCCCTATTGCAGTGCACCATAAGACATGTGAGAAGGTGAATAAACCACTGGCCTATTTTGGGGTTATCAGAATATGTCACCATTTATAACACCAGCCGTTTATCCTTTGTGAGTCAGAGCGCTGAAATGTCGCCCGAAATTAAGAGCGTTCCCTCCTCTCCACTCATTGAAAGTTGCTACACATAAATCTAAACAGTGGCTGCACCAACAAAGAAAAGAGCCCAGCTTCGCCGAGGTACATTTTTAGACATGTTTCCACACATGATGTCGTATCTGAAGTAACACACAGCTGGGATAAACAGAGCCGGGCTGCTCATGATCACAAAGCTGCAGAACCAGAAATCTAATGACCTTATGCTTGTTTGGAGATATGCTTAGTTATGTTTAAGAGGAGAGAAGACACAGGTGCAAGATATCATCCTCATCGCTTCATGTTTTGAGATGGAATAAAAAATTCTATAAATTTAACTGATGATCAGTATCTTGTTGCTAAATTAAGCTCCATTTGTTTCTTACAGTTATTGAAACAATCAGAGCCCATGAATGCAGGCAGAAAGAGTAACGACAGCTTCTAGTGTGCTCGCCACCATAATGTCATCGGAAAAAGCACAATCTCCGAACGTCCCTGTTTTCTCCACTTTTCTAATAGTTTTGTTCTCACCTCACGGGTGCCGAAGTAGCGAGTGGTGTAGCCTCGGCTTAACTGTCAGCCGAGCAGAGAGCATAACCGAGAGAAAACAGCCCTGGCTGGCCTTCCAGTCTGGGAAATGGTCTGTGGGCTCGACGGGGGGGTTCCGACTGAGACCTCACTGCCTTCCCAAAGCAGCTCGTTTGTGCTCGGATGTGTGCTCTGCCAAAAGGGGGCCGTTAGTGTGTGCTCGCCACAGCGGGAAGCCCTGGAGTCCATATCCATCTCAGCAGCCTCCTCCTGGCTTCAGCCCCCGCTAACCAGAGCCCTCTGCACTGATCAGCACAGTAGACTTAAGGCCAAACACATCATACTTTCCACTGACTGGATACAGATGCGTGCACACACTCTCTTTTTTCCTTCTCAACCCCCCCCCCCCTCCACCCCCCTCTCTGTGTTACTCACAAATGGCCATACAGCATAATATGCAAGCATGTACTCAGATGTAGACATGTAACCCAGACAATGCTTCACACAAAGATCACACTCTTTTAAAGGGAGAGACAGCTTTGGACTCTAAGTAGTCTTAAGGGAGAACTGAATGCTTTCAGAGAGATTGATGGGCACTTTTGAAGGATTGTGTCGCAACCCCACCAAACCTAAAATGGCTGGATCAAATTGACTTCAGACGGATGAGGCAGTCGATGTAATATTCTGTGATCTGCATGCTAAAAAGGGCGTGGGGGGGTCTGCTGTAACCCAGTGTGCCGTCAAGGTCGAGCCGCGCTGTAAAAATGCAGGTAGCTGTTTGGTCGCCAGACTTAAAAATGTGACCTTGATTACTGACTGTCATGTCTGGTTTTATTGTCATTCCTAGCCAGTTAGAATACAAAACTGTCACATAGCACGTTTGGCGCCGCGCAATCAACTTCCCTTTTCTACTGCGTGACTACAGTTGCATTGGAAACAGACTTGTTAAACAAAAGCAAAAAAGGTACCAAACACGCACACGCTTCCCCAGCCTTCTGTTTTACGTCCGTTTCATTCGCCTTGACTTCAAGTTAGCAGGAGTCTTGTTTTTTGCATCGTGATCCGTGATGAGCTTGGAGAGGTTGGGCCGCAGATGGTGGTTTATTGTTGCAAATAGGCAGTCTCGAGGTTTTACACCTCAGGTCAATGAATGGCTGAGCACAGTAATTTCACCAAACACTGATTACCAGATGTTTTTCAAGGAACGGCACTGGAATACTTATGAAGCCATCCTGACAGGCCCTTGTAGAATTTGTAATGCAATCATGCCTCTTTCTAATAAGACCAATTAAACAGTAATAGATGCCGGATATGAAGCCAACAACAATAATCGAGATACTAAAACATACCTGAGTTTTCATTTTCATTGTTCCGTTTCTTGCAGCTGACGTTTCCCTTGATAGTTTGCATCATTAGGCGTGCAGAGGTTGTCTCTCAGAGATCTAAGCAAAGTCCAGAGTTATTTCCTCATTTAAGGGATGTTGCCAATTTCATCATACAATTGGAGGGGCTTTTTCTGGAACAAAAAGAACAATTTGCATGTGGATTCTCAAGTAAAACGCCCCTCTTTAATCAGTAACGATGTTCCTTGGCTGTCACCAGGCTCTCCGGAGGATGGTGGCAAACCGTTTCAGTGTCCTGTGTGTGGACTGGTCATCAAACGTAAGAGCTACTGGAAGAGACACATGGTCATTCACACGGGCTTGAAAAGCCATCAGTGTCCACTGTGTCCTTTTCGCTGTGCTCGCAAAGACAATCTCAAGTCCCACATGAAGGTTAGATATTGCTTTTCCTTTTATCGAATTCTGTATCTCTGCATGCCTTGTTCCACCCAGGAAAGCTCCTTTTGATATGTGCCCGTTAAAACTCCTGCCGTCCCTTTTCCAGGTACATCAGCACCAGGACCGGGGCGAGACTTTTCAGTGCGAACTTTGTCCCTTTACCTCCTCCCGACATTTCAGCCTGAAGCTTCACATGCGCTGCCACCAGCACTTTCCCCGCACAGACGTCAAGGTGAAAGAGGAGCTCACCACCGACACGGAGGGCGAGGGCTCCCTGTTGGGCGACAGTGGTTCCACGGACCTGAGAGCAGCAGACGTGTCCCCACTGCACTCAGACAGCCAGCAGCAGACTTCCCCTCCTGCCGAGGCCTCCTCAAACCATGTCCACATAAAGGAGGAACCGCAGGAGAGAGACCTGTCTGTGCTCTCTCCCTTCAGCATCTGCAGGGACCGAGCCAGCAGCAGCGCCAACTCCCTGGATCTACCTGGAGTCGGGGTTGGAGTTGGAGTGAGGTCAAGTCCCAGTGGTCCAACCGCAGCCTCCATCTTCAGCCCTGACATCACTACCAAAACAGCCACTGACCTGCTTATGAAGCTCTCAGGTTTGCCTCTTTTCATTTATTATATATGTATTTCATATATCATCACCTAACTGTTGATGTTTGTTTATTTTGACTCTAATGAGGGAAAAACAACTTTGAAATGAAGAACTGCTCCATAGCTGTTTTCGTAACGCGGCGTTGCAGCTTTTATTCACCACAGTTGCAGCTTAAGTTGTGCTAAAGTTGCATAATGACTGCCTTAAGTGATTTTTTAATACTTCACTGTTATGAAATAACATTCATAAGTAGTATAAACAGATTTTATTTTTATGGTTTCAGGTCAAGGTTGCAGTATGTCTTTGAGCTGTTTTTACTGGAATTTAAAAATCATGGGAACTGGCTTGAAATGTGTGTGATTCGGTTAAGGAATAATTTTTTTCAAAGAATGAAAAGAATTAGTTTACACTGCGCAAAGTAAATCACACTGATGAGGCTATGCATACGTACATTCAGACACTGAGTCCCTTATATTTTGTTAAGATGTGCTTTATGTCTCTCACTTATACCCCGGATCGTCCACAGGTACCTCTGAGGTACCTCATGATATCTGGCTGGTAAGGTCTGGTAAGGCTTTTTGGACAGTTTTGAGGATGAAAAGTTGCGGTTGTTTTACAAAAAGTTGCAGTGTGACAGAGTATTTTTTAAGGCACCAGACGATATGCTGCTGTCAGGAACACAAGGCCCACACCATGTTTAGAAGCATTTTACCATGTTGCAAAATATCAAAGGATGGGCTCGGAGAGATTGATGGGAAAAGGTTAACAGAGGTCGAGCGCCAGGGTCGGGGCTACAACTGCCACTCTCCCACTTAATGCTGTGTAATTAGATTGAGATCTTCAGCAAGGATTGGATGGGGGGGGAAAAAACCTGGGAACATTAGATTAATTAAAAATGTATGCATAATTCATAATTAAAAAGGAATTCATAATTTGAAATGATTAGCGCCCTGAGCGCCATCCGGTGACCCCGGCAGGATGCAGAGGGACTGGGCCGGCTTAGTTAACTCCCCCGCAATCTCGCACGCCCTGCCTCCACGTGGATGCCCCCTGGGTGCCAGTCTCACTCCGCTCCCAGACTGCACAATCAGGCCCGGGCAACTCCCGGAGGAGCCAAGATGGCTCCTCGCAATGTCAGTCCAGTGTCAAGTGGCAGACATCTTAGTCAGTACATCATTCAAGGAGAATGAAGGAGCATGTAAAAAGGCGAGTGGAGAAGATGTCGAACTTGAATGCCTGATGTCCCTCTTGATGCGCGCTTTTATACTTTGATCACAAAGTTTTCTCTCTGTTTGTGGGTTAGGGTCACAGAGAGAGGCTTATGAAACCCTCTATAGATCTGTAAGGCTTAGCGATGACATGGAGCAGCCGAGGAAGCAGAGGTGAACAACTTCCCCCTGGGACCTCTCGACTCTATTTCTTCTGACCTCTCTGCCAACCCAGATTGAGTGTGTACATGGACAGCTCATCCCTCCTGCTTTTACACTGCTGTCTCAGTGCCTCAGTCCGGCAAGGCCTATGAGAGGGGGGGGTGGGGGGAGGCGAGGTGTTTAAAAAGCTGCAGAGGGAATGGGAAAAAAAAAAAAAAAGTGACAGCCACTGAGTGAGGCAGAGTAAGAAGCATGGAGGGAGTTGTAGCGCGCTCCCCAGGCATAAAAAGACTGTGAACTCGTTCTGACCTCTGACATAATATGCATATCTTTTTTTGGGTCGCCCTCCTTTCAACCGAGTGTTTTACAGATACCCTTTGATTTTTATCCGTATGCGCTGGCACTACCGTTAGCTATCCATTGTGATCCACATTTTGATTCGCAGATGAAAGCCACCGAGGCGCTTTGAAATGCACAGCTCTCACCCCATGCCCAGTGGACCCTAAGTTAATAATGACAGTTGGCACCGCACACCCCCCAAGCAACCCCCCCCCACCCCCCCCACCCCTGCTGCGCTGACACAGGCACAACGAGCTTGACCCTGGCTGGGTGTGAATAATTGCCATGCAGGGGGTTTGTGGGAGGTGTTGCATCTGCCATGATGCTTCTGCAGTTGTCTTATTTATCTTTTTCCTGGGGGACTATCCCGCATGCACTCGACAGCAGGATGATGTATCTGCAGAATTTTAGTTGGGGTATGAAACCTTGTTTTTTCATTTTTTATTTTCTATCCTTGATGTTTTCTCAAAAGAAAGAAAAAATGAAGTCTCTCACTGTGTCTAAGAGCAGAAATACTTCTCTGATGCGAGCATCTAGATTCGATCTGATGTGTGTCTCGCTCTCCAGCTCTGCATGAGCAGACACATGCAGGCCTTTTGTGCGTGACCTCTGGTCCATACATCCCCACTGCAGCCATCAGTATCACTGTCCAGTGTCTCGCACACTGTCAGCTATTGTTCAGCTCTCAACCTGCCCCACGTAGCCCCGTGCCCTTTTTCCCCCCCTTTTTTTCTTCTTTGGGAGAAAACGGCAGCCAATTGTCAGAGGGGGAGCAGGCCGGCGTGACAGAGGTGGAAAGCTAATGAAGTTATTTGACGGCAGCCCCGGCCACGGAGCGAGAGGTGAGGCGGAGTGGACAAGCGCCTGGCAGCGAGACGGATGAGGCGCAAGAGAGAAGCGCGGCGAGGGGCAGAGAAATAAGCAAGAGAACAGCGACGGAAGTGCCGTTGGTGGCAGGTGTCAGAAGGGTGCGATAACATGGAGACAAACTGATAGCGTCGTCCATCCTGAGCCAGGACCAGCCTTGCGGTATCCTTTCGCAGAGAGCTGACACAGGCCTTGGTTAGCACATAAAAACACCGGCAGGAAGCTCACAGAACAGAAGCCCAGTCACCCAGAGAGGCCTGCCTCTTCTGCAGAGCCGTGTACACCAAAAGACGCGCCAGGGACTGGGCAGTTGTGATGCTGTTGTGTTCGCGAAACCTTTGACAGACGAAAGGCCAAAGTGGAAGCTTGGCATGGTCGTCTGGATTTTGCCGCAGTAGGGCTGCTTGTTGGCAGTGTTTTTTTGCTTCCTGCGCTGAGCCATCAGCATGTAGGACTAAAAAAAAGAAAAATACGTTAAAAAAACGTGCCTATTGGATTAGGCTACTAAATAATTCAATGGGCTCCGTAACAGAGATTCTGAGTGGAAATACATGCTATTTATAGCAACAATCTAAAAGGTCAGCAGAGTGGTGTGACTGTGTGATTGCATGTCCTGGAGTTGTTTTTGTTCTTGTGAGGCCACAGGGGAGAAGAATTTGAGAAAGTTTACGTTGAGCATGTCTTTCCAATCGGTTTATGTCCAGCTCGAGTGTGGTGTGTCGCACCGTGCATACTGTTGAATTTGGCCGCCCAAAGTTTAGACCCCAACGAAGGGGGGGAAAAAGCGGGCTTCCGCTTGATTAAAAGTGTATTTTTATGTGTATTTGTAAGGCGGTGACCAAGTGTGTCCCTGTCTGATCCGACATGGCCCAACACGCTTCTAATTAGAGGACGTCCTTCCAGGTGCCGACCAGGTTATACTTAGCCTGCCCGCTGACATCTGACAGCGTGACATTTCCAGCTGGTGCCGTGTGCGACCCCGCGCCACTGCCCCCGAACTTGAAGGTCACCGCCCCCCCCATCCCCCCCACCCCGCGCAGCTCAGCCTCCTCCATTTTGCCCTCTTGAACCGCGGCCCCAGCCTGCCATGGTGTGGCACTGTGGCATCGTGGCATCACATGGGTGGTCAGAGCACACCGGCACCCGTCTCCTTTTTTCCCCCGCGTATCGCGTCCCCGAGCCCTTTCGCCACAGATCATCATTAATCAGAAGAGCCCGAACCGGCACAGATTGATGGTGCGGGCAGGGGGGTGGCCGTCCTGTGGCGGTTAGAGATGTTAGGTGTGATGGTAGGGTGAGGAGCAGAGCAGATCTCTGCTGGGGCCAGAGGAGACTGGACAGCAGCCTGTCCAAGAGTGATGGTCTCTGTTATATCCATGCCCTGTGTGTGTGTGTGTGTGTGTGTGTGTCTCTGGGAAAGACTGAACACACTTCTCTGGGTTCTTTTAGACTTCATAAGCGCCAGGGGTTGTGTCAAAAGACGGGAGACCTCAGACTTATGTGCTGGTGCCGCACAGCACTTGATTTAAAGTTCTACAGGATGCAGAGCCCACTGTTTTTACTAATTAAAACTAGTCTACATCTGAAAACCTGAAAAGATAGTGTAATTAATTTCCTTGAGAATTCATGCCCATGACCTTTTCACTGCATAGAACAAACAATCTTGCCTTGATGCCAAATAACTCTGGTTGCAAAAAGAAAGTAAAATTATGGAAAAGAAAAAAAAAAATCAGCCAGTGTCTCAATTGCTTATCAATATAATATGTGATGGCCTTCCTTTTAATCTTCGCCACAGCGATGAAGCTCTTCCTCCCGGCTGACAATTTGAATCTATCCAAAATCCCAACGCCTTAGCTGCAGACACCGAATCAGATATAACACAAATTGAGATAATTTGAACATACAGTGTTATGAATATCAATACAACAAATGTTGAGGTGAGCCAGAATGTAATCAGTAGTGTACAGTAACCGTCCCTCCAATTTCCAAATCACAGGCTGAAACAGATCTCAAACCACCTCCCTGAGATATATCTCAACTGTAAATACTTTGGATCATACTTTAAAAGCTCATTTAAATGTTTGTCAGCCATTTTATAATCCAGCGGCATCATAAGATACAACTTGTGTAAAGATTGCACGGAGAGCAGAAGAACACACTGACTGACACAAAGAGAGGCGCTCAGCCTGCTGTTCTTTTCTTGGCAGCTATCGGAAGTTGCTCCATGTCTAATTATTAATTATTCATCTAAGAGGGATTAGATGTGGCCCAGTTTCTCTTAAAGATGACTTTAGAGCAGAGCGCTCAATGTGACGGTCCACCAGCAGCGAACCAAGGCTGCGCACTGCAGAGACGGAGGATCAGGGTTCAGCTGATTGCTGTCCCTCTCCACAGAACTGCGGGGGTTTTTTCACCTCCTCGCGTCTGAAGGGGATTGGGATGAGGTCAGAAGCAATGTGAGACGGGGAAGGCAGACTCAACGTTGAATTAAACAGCAAATAAGGTGCAAAGATATTAATGGGATGGGAGTAGGTGTGTGAAGGGGAAGTCGGGGTGGGGGCAGAAAATTCGGGAATTTGCCGTGATGCTGTTAGCCCTCAGCAGCTGTGGCGTCCTTTTCAGCAGAGAGACAGTGAAAAGCCACTGTGGAGCGCCCTGTTGTTTCTTTGTGTGAGCATTTTCATGATATGTGTTTACACGTAGTCCTTTTCACTTAATGATTTGTTTCTCGGGCAGAAAAACACAATAACGTATAGCTGTTTTGGAGAAAATGGAATGGATTCCATCTTTATTGGGATTTGAGATGGACCTTATTACGTTTTTACACTCATCACGCACTTCTCCCATAGCCAACAAGGCTCGCTTGGGTATCACTCGATTCTTTTGATCATGCTTATCCCTTTGATCTCTTTTTTCTCTGTGCCTGCAGCGGCCAACCAGAGGGAAACACTCAAGTCTCCATTCCACCTGAAGGAAGAGCCCAAAGTGGAGGAGGCCCCGAGCCCCAGACCGTCCTCACAGTCTCAGAGTCAGCTTCAGTCCAGCTTCCCGGCCAGCTTCTGCCAGGACGGGCCGGCGGGCGCTCCAGCATCCACAGAGCGCCCGGGCTCACTGAAACCCAGGGAAGGCAGCCCCATGGCTAAGAACAGCCTGCTTAGCCAGGATATCAACGTGAAGGTGGCCTCAGAGCTGCTGATTAAGCTTTCCGGTAAGCTCACTTTGTTTTTTTAGAGCTCCAGCCCTAAAACTGGGCTTCCTCATGTATGCAAAACATTCATTCTGGTGTTTTAAAAAAGTGCATGTATTATTTACATTCCCATATTTTTTTAGCTTTATGCTAAATAGCTCAAGGAAAAATACTGGATTATTTAAGGAGGGACCAACCACCGAGTATTTTAAGGAAAGAGCTGTTTGTGGCCTGACGCTGATGTTTGGTGTGTTGCTGAGGTGCTTGTACCTCCCATCAGCTTGGGAAATTAATTGCGAGCCAAATCTTAAGATGTTGATCACCATAAGATAAAGGTTATGATATGATTTTGTGTTGTTGTTTTTTTCTTCATGGCTAAAATGCCAACTCCTTAAAAATTGAGCCAAACCTATCTGTGTGAAAGAGCAAATATCCAATGAATTGGTCTTTTTATCTGGAAAGATGTGCTCTAAGTGGTAGCAGAGAAACCATAAAAGTTTCATATCACTTGGCTTCTGTTGGCCCCGTTTTGTTACAGCTTGTTGAACAAATTATATCTTTACGATTTGTAGTCCAGCGTTCCACTTCACTCTCCCATTCCTTGCAGAATCAGGCCAGATGATGCCATGTAAATATTGGCTCTATTGGCCTTATTGAGCAGAAAACTGAACCCTGACTTTTCTTGCTTTTCAGTATCGGGCTTTTTAAGTCAAATGTATCTGTATTCGTGCACACCCTAACTCAGCCTATGTCGAACTCTTTAGCAATTTCGAATGCTGCATGAAGTAGCCTTTTACAACTTCTGCTTTGAAATAAGCCCCAGTATAAGTGACAAGTCCTGGGGCCGGACCCCAGCTCAGCTCTGTGCTTTGTAGCCTAAATCTTTTCGTCGTCTTTAACTTCACGCAGTTTCATTTAGTCGCTGCACAGGTAAAATAGGCTCAGGTACCAGCTATCTGCTGGTACTAGCAGTAGAAAACACCGAATATGTGTCTTTGTGAACCGTTGATCGCAATATGTGCTTATGCATTCACGTTCTTCTACATTTACACCAATTTGTGAACTACGCTTGTCAAAAAAAAAAATACAGATAAATTACAAACATATGTGGACATCGTGTGGAAAATGTGCATTCCCAGTTTTAAATGGCCAGCTGACGGCGGTGCAGCGGGGCATCGCTTCACCCGCGCCTCTTCATCCCCTGCCAGTGTGTGCATGCTTGACAGACACCTCACACACCGGCTGCCATTGTTCTCTCCAGGTCGACTGGTGTTCACAGTGACTCATGCTGGCTGGTAGCTCGGCGCTACTACACGTGTGCAGCTCCGCTGCCTGCCCCCCAGGTCACGTTTCTCAGTGTGTGCGCGTGTGCTCGTGCGTGCGTATGCCCAAAGAATTCAGGAACGGCGGCAGCAGCCTCACGCACGCTGTTGTTTTACGCGTGTGGAAACAATGAAAATTGCTAGAACGACGGGGACAATAAATGTTCCCCTCACTGTACTGTCTCTACCTAATTTTTCTTTTCTTTTTTTTTTTTTTTTTTTTTACAGTCGGGGTTCCCTTAAATGTGTTTTTTAAAGGTCTTTCCGGTCCCTGCACCGACTTATTCCTGCCAGTTTATTGGGTCTATCTAGCAGCTTGGCCAGGATTTATCCACTCCCATTACTTACACTAGCTCTGCCAGGTTGACCTAGGTTAGGGAAAGATGCTGCAGCGTTCATCCGTCCTCCGGCTCCCCCTGCCCCTTCACACAGTCCTTGGAGCACAGTGCCGTCCATCGCCATGGCAACAGTGGGGGCGGAAGATGGAGAGGGCTGTCTAGAGTGACAGCCTTGACAAGAGTCTGGACCCTTATATGACCCTGGGGGGAAGGGAGGAGGAAGGTTGGCGAGGAGGAGAGGAGGAAGCAGGGAAAGGTCACTGCCGTTAGAGCCGTGTGATTACAGTCATGAGGTTCAAGGGCAGCCACACCACAACCTCCCTCTGTCCTTTGTTAAAGGCCAGCCCCAATAAGCATTCTTGAATAGTGGAATCACGCGGCCAGTTTCAGACTAAGCATTATCCTTCCTCAAAACAATCCCGGTCTTTTCCGTTTAAGTGTTTATTTCCCCATTCTCATTTGGCAGCGCGGCAGATGAACACAGCCTAATTAAATTTCTGCTGCTCATCCTGCCTGGGCCGTGGTGTTAGATAGTCGGAGCAAGTGGGGTTGTCATCATTACTGCCCATTGTGCTGTAACATGAGTTGCATCATCCCTGTAACTAGGTCGCTCCCCCCCCCCCCCCCCCCCCCCCCTTGTCTTCTTTATCAAACATTTGTTGGTGGTGTTGAGTCGCCCGGCTCATGCTACCTCCCCCACATCTGTTTAAAACCAGGCTGCTGGTGTCTAGGGGCTAATTACACCAGGCTAAATAGTCCCTGGTGCCAGCGGCTAACGTGTCCTAGCAGATGGGCAATGGTGTTGCAGGACATGGGGAACATGGCGCCACAAGGAGGGAGGATGAAGGGGGTTGCAGGGCTCTAGGTGGTGCCCTGGCAGACTGGCATCGTGTGGGTAACAGCCGTGCCACCCACTCACCATCCAGCCACCCTCTCTATAGGTGTGAAATCACACTTTGTGCTTGCTTAGCTCCCCTCTGTAGAGCTCCTTACAGTGCTTATTCAAGTTACACCAGGCACATAAAAGAGAGACCATCTACTGAAACAACAGCGACAGACATTAAAGAAAATCTGAAGTGCCTATTTTAGGTTGGTATAGTTGAAAGTCACACTGTGCTCGCATTCGCTGTCAGTAACCCACCTAAACTGTTCTGATCTGTGCTGGCCCAGAGAATAAATGTCAGTGTCTGGCTGCTTCAGTCCACTTCCTCTGCTGAAAGCGGATGCACAATGTGATATTTGAAACTGTGCTGCTTTCATTTAGTCCGCGTAGTAAGTTAATTAGCCAAATGTGGCAAAAAGCTGGAAGGCCTTGCAGCGGAATTAGCTGTTTTTGTAGCTGTGTTGAAATCTGATTGATTTCTCTGTGCTGGCCAAAAGCAACCGGTCTCTCATTAATATACTTGATAAGCTGTTAGCTGACTGACATAACGCTGTTTGCTTACACCGGCATCCTTGAAGACTACTTTTGTTACTTATTCGACTGTCAGTTTCCATCATCCTATCCGTGAATCTCTCCAATAAGAGAAATTCAAAAGCCTCATTGTTGTATCTCATTTTACAGGAAACGGCTTTTTCTCTCTCACTTTCTTTGTGAGAGCCATAACGTTTTTTTCACCCCTCTCACAACTCGTGTGCAAGATTCTTTTGTCTAATTGCACATGAACTTTGAAACCAACATTACTAGAATTGCTTCCAGCTCGTGACATGAAACTTTAGCATGGCCTTCATTCATTACCTTCATTTCAAATAAGATTTGAAATTTAATTACCTCAAGGGAATTCCTAATTTTCTTCCGCATTAACAATGCAGGAACAAACCAGTTTGTTTTTTTGTTTAGTTTTTTCAAAGCGCTGTTGTTCGTTGTGCTCGAATTCCTCCAGGTAACCAAAGTGGATCACAGTGCATAATGCCTTTTGGATACAGGTTTTTTTTAAATTAATTTTTGCTGCCCTCAGGATTTAGTCATCTGAAGGCTTTCACAGATGTAACAGCTGTTCTTTCTGAAAAAACGGAATTCATTGCTTTAAGTAGACTGCTTTATTGACATATTTTCTACATGTTTACAAGTTGTACAAGTACAGGTTGGTTCCTTTGTTCCTCCATGTAAAGAATTTCCATTGTGATAGCACACATTTTGTTTTCCATTTTTAAATTCACTTTCGACTCAAGCAGGAAAATGTTCCCTCTTGTTTTTTTTGCTGTAGATTACCTTTAGAATAAGGAGCTCGGACAGTTTTTATTTCTTTCTCAGTATGAAAGATAGAAAAGCAGCCAAAAGTAAAAAGAGTTACAAATAAAATAAAAAAGACAAACATCCATATATAAATTTAGAATACATTTGTGTTGGCTTTACCATTTAGGAAGTGAATGTGGTGTTCATGAATCAACCTTAAAATCAGATTTTTCATCATAGCTTATCCCAGCGTACTGTCTAAGCTGGTCACCATTTTGATCCACAACATTGGTGTCATTTTGCAGTATTATCTCATATTAAGCTCTGCTCTGCTCTGACAGTGTCCTCACTGTGACCCCTCAGAGTGACCGCTCACTGACCTGTTTTACTCCCACCCTCCCCACCTTCTGTCTCACTGGCTCTTCATCACTTCCTATAGTTGTATTTACAGAAAATGAAGAGAAAGTCAGTTTTTTTGTATCTGTAGAACCTGCTTTTATTTGCAGGAATGATTGGCAGAATGACTCAGGCGATCAATCACCACCTTTTGTGTTGACCTCATACGATAAATCTGCAGTATTCTTAGATTAGCCCTGGCTTGTGCCAAATGTTTTGTTTGTTTGTTTTTTTGTTTGTTTTTTGGCTCAGGAGCACTTCATAATGGCAGCATCTTTCTCCTTATGTGCTCTTTATCAAGCGGACTGCTCCAGAGTCAGATGTAGCTCCAGTTTGTAACCGTTGGAAGGTTTAACTACTAAGCACTGGCTGGTCGAGGATCAATTGTAGCAGCAGCTGTCTGTGAAGTCTGCAGGCAGGGCTGCTGTGGCTCCCACATGACATGCAGTCTCCACACTGCAGCCTTTGAAGCGCCTGAACTCTTCACCCCTGTCTGAGCAGGTCGGCAAGAGAGCAGGAGAATAGAGAGATTGAGAGAGCGAGGGATGGGGGGCAGGGATGGAGAGAGATGTGGAATAACAGAGCAGGGAGAGGAGAGGACTTGGATAGCAGGAGGGGGAGAGGTGGAGAGTTGTCATTTAGGCTCTAGCCAGCTCTCATCCTTCCGTCCTCCCCCAGCTCTCTTTTCTCATTCGACTGTCTTCTTTCCTCTCTAACCCTCGGGTGTTCTTTTCCTGGCACTCTTTTGACAATTCTTTCCTTTTTTTTTCACCCCTGTCCTTTGCCCTCTGTCTTCTTTACAGCCTGTCAGTCCAAGAATTTTTTCAGATGTCTTTTTTTTTTTTTAATCAAAGGTCGTCCAGTGACTTGACTTTGCTTGTATTAAATCATTAGTTGTGTGTGACTTTTTGTTAGTCTGGGGGTGATTATAAATCTGTTGAGTGTATGTTGTGAGCAGAACAGAGTGTGAGGTCCACACATCCAAACCAACACCTGAGGTAGATCCTTTAAAACAGGACATCACACAAACTCTCAGTCTTGGTCTAATCCAAGCAATGTTGTGGAAGGCAGAGTAGTTCCAGTCCCTCTGAGTTAACAATGGAAATTCAAGCACACTGTAAAAGCGCTGCATGGCCTCCTTCAAAACCCGACCACAGCAGATCCAGTAAGAGCTTTGGTTTGTATTGTTTTGGATGGCTGATGATGGTTGAAAAGGTTTCGACCAAATTAGTCCCGACCTGCTCCACAAATAGGGCCCACGTGAATTTGTTTAAACAGAGACATACTTGAACTCAACCAAACTAAAACTGTTTATTTTAAGCAACAGCCAGAACAACAAAGATGAGTGCAGGAGCACTCCAGTGTCTCTTACATTACCGAGAGACTTCACTTTCAAAGTCTCCAGTAGGTTTAAGAAATAGAAAATACCAATTTTATAGGACATGTGGACATTGGAAACTGTTTTATTGCACCAAACAGCACTGTAGTGACATTTGAGAACGCTGTCCACTGAAAACGTGATCCTCAGAGAAGAGCCAGCAAACCTCTGTAGAGGCTTTTCTGAGTTTTGGGAGAAGCCAAATATTAGATTATTGGTAATGCAATAATACTGTGGAAATCACTTTTGCCAGTTTACTTGCTACCATTCAAAATATTATCATATAACCGACTGCTGCTGTATACATACCATTGCTGTGTTTAATAAAAATGCCTTTAGACTTGAAATTGTTGAGTTTTGGGGTGATTTACGGAGGAACTGTAGCGTCACTGACACCAAAGGAAGGCTTTGATATTTACTGAGAAAGGCCAGGTTCACCCTCCATGTGTGTGCACATGTTAAGGTGTTTTTCAGAGCTGATTCTGTGTCCTAATGGCAGCTGGCGTATCACAGAGTGGGGCTTCTGCACTGGCCGGGATGACACATACACACTTACACACATGGGGCACACACACACACACTCGCTCTCTCTCTCCTTTCCGCACACAGGCACGAGCAGACTGAGGGCTGCTTTTTATGGCTTCAGAACATTAGGTCATGACCCCAGCCAAAAAGCCATAGCTATTATCAGCGTGGGAGTGAGGCTATATTTTCATTTTTTACTTTGTGACAGGTAGACTTCTCTTCTGGTGTGCTGTGATGCTTTCAGTATGCTGAAGATCAAATGTTTTCTCTCCGTGTCAGCGATCTCTGTGTAATGCCTCTTCATGATGTTCGCATGTTTATCCTAGAATTGGAAGCTCAAGTACATTAAGAATCCTTTGGAAGAAGGGTGTGTTTTTCAGTAATCTTGCATCGTGGCGGCTGTGCTCGCCTCGGCTGTTTGAGCTGTGATCCAATGGTTGAAGCTCCTGTGTCCCTTGGTTGACCCTTGCAGTGCAGTCTACCCCCTATGCCTCCCCCCCCACCCCCCCCCCCCCACCCTCTTCTCACTCTGCTACTCCGTCAGCCTCTCCTAGGTTACTCGGCCAACTCTAGCCACCTGATTAAGGGATTAGTGAGGCTGATGGTTGTCAGTGTCCTCCCCCATGCTGGTTGCTACCAATAAAGCGGGCACCTGGCTCTCAGGAAGGAGGCAAAGGTGGTGGTTCTGTTTTAATTCACCCATATAAGCACAGTCGTTTACACCAACACATTTAATAAAGCAAATGCTTTTGCGTCCAGCGAACTATAGGTCCGGTGTCTGGGTTCCAAGTTTACCACGGTGAGCAGAGGAGTGCAGAATGTAAGGGGAGGGTGGTGGGGTTAACACAGGCTTGTGCCTCCCTCCCTTCTGCTCCTCTAACCTCCCCCCTACCCCGATGCCCAGCCAAATTCATATATCCCATAATCGTGCTGAGTTGCAATGTCAGCCACACTGTATCAGCCCCACTGCTTTGTCCTGCTTCTGTTTGTCATCACACTGAGACACTGCCTCCTGCCATCAGACTGGTCAGAGATCAGCAAAAGACTTCCCCTCTTATTTTTATTTCTTTATCTTCGTGTGTGTGTGTGTGTGTGTGTGTGTTGATCCGAGTGACGTGGCTTGAGATTTAGCAGCACCAAAATGAACGGTTCCTGAAACAATCCATTTAAACTTGCAGGTTTCTTACACTGATTCACCTCCTCATTGATATGATATCATTTGTATCGCGGTATCCTTTTCACGGTTAACATATTTCCATGGTAGCCTGCAGTTTTTTTAAATATCTGAGGAAAGGGCAGAGTCAGTGTTTGAGACCACAGATGAGCTTTGGGCATTCCTAACAGCTGCCGTCTCCCTCCTGACTATTTTTAGCTCGTTCACCATTTGAACTTTTTAGAAAAGTGAGTCAATGGCTGCTCTCACCTTTTCGACCATTGCCTGTGCGCTAGGAAAATGCCACTTTTTTGTTTGAATAAAGACAGCTTAGCGTGTATTTGGTTAACATTTAGCGCTGGACGGCCTTTCCTGTTTGCGTCAGGGAGGCCTCACGTTTCTGCCGTCTCCTTTAAGCAACAGCGTGCCCTCTCAGTGTCCTCCTGCTAATAGTGACAGAGCTCGATGTTAACCAGCTATGCTTAAACTGAGAGACAATGCTTGTGGGTTTAAAAAAAAAAATGTTTAAAGTGCACGATTGACTTCTACAAGCAAAAGAGTCATCCGTTCTTATGCTGTTGTTTAGTTTTGGTAAGACCAGAGCTGACAGAATTTATTCATCATAGCTCTTGGAAAGACATTTTATTTATGCCACACCATTGTAGGGCTATTGGATTGGATTTATACTATTACAGTATTTGTTTTTCTTATACAAAACTCTCTCCAAGATGATTTCACTAAAGCATTTGATGCCATATCGTCACACAGACAATTTGCAGTAAAACTAAAGTACTAAGCAGAGGTTTTCTGTGGGGTTTTGAGAGCTTTTGTTCTGCTTTTATGTTCTACTTGATCTTATTATTTCCAAAAAGAAAAAAGTTGAATAAACTTCAAAAACATAACACCCTTTCTCAGTTTTCCATGTAGACATAAATGACACGCTAATGAGCTCTTCTTACATTTACTACTTGTTAAGAGCTTGACATGTCAGCTGCACCAGAAAATAATCACCCTCTTATTTCAAAGTATGAAATGCAACTTGAATTTACATATAAGTACAAAATCTTACAAGCTCAGGGTCAGTTTATCTAGATAAATACAAACATGGTTTCATTGACCATTACTATGAGTGGCACCGTAAAGTTTTTCTTTCAAACGCCTCAACACTAGTAGCCGCTTTTTTGGGAAGACATTGAACAAAAAGATAGAACAAAATGTTTTACAAGAGTTGACAGCAGCTTGCTATGAAGTGCGCTGACATGTTGTGGTGGGAACTTCTGACCTCTTGTATTATCCATTGTTAATCTTATGCTAATGAATGAATATGCTCCGGCAGTCAGGTACTCTGGATTTGTCTGAATGAAGCTGTGAAGGACTTTAACATAAAACCGATTAAGGGGGGTGCTCTTTAGGAAAAAGTGGAGAAACTTTCAGTTTCCACACGAGCTGCATAGTTAACTATCTATTCCCTAGATTCAAATTTTACATATAGATAAATCCAAACTGACAGAGTAGCTATTGTCCGTGTGGGCCTGGAGGTTCCAGTCGTTGGAAATGAGTAACTTATAGCTTTGCACAAGCTCTCATTTGGAATTCAGCACTATTAAAATGCATTATAGTAAATGTGTGAAAGCACACAAGAAAAGCCAGGAGATGTGAAATCGACATATCAGACAGAATACACTCACTATGAGAATCTTATATTGAAAGGATGTCGGAGTTCTGATACCAAATATTCAAAGAAAGATGTTCAGATGTTCCATCACGGCCCAGGAATACTGAGATGTGCATTTTGTTTTACTTTAAAGTGTAACAGAATCAGTCAGCTGGAACAAAATACAAAAAAAGCACTCTTTAAAAAGATTGTGTGGCAGTGCTAAAATATGCAAGCATGAACTAAGCATTCAAAACAGTTTTTTAATTAGTAGCTTGCTTAAAAAAACATCAACTTCAAAGCCTGCATTAATGCAGAGAGACAAAGAAAGAACGGGTTCTGATTCATACACATTTGTCCTTTTTCTGAACTTTCCTCAATGCTTTTTTTTTTGCCCTGCACTTTTTGATAAGCCTGTTTGGCTTCATATTATTATTTAGATAAATCCACCTGAGAGGATTAGACAGGGAAATCATTTAGATTGAATGGCTACAGCAAATCATCTGCATCTGGGGGCCATAAACCAACACCAACGCTTATCTTTTTTTCAGGGGGCAACAAGGCACAAAAAGGCAGGGTGATGCTTTTAATATGAAAAGTGCTTTGCGTTTGTGTCGGACAAGAATGTTTCTCTTTTGGACAAAGGCTGAGAAGTAAAGATTTCAATCAATATGCGACTCTCCTTTTTCAGAAGCCTTATTTATTCAAATAATAAGGAAATGTACTTTTTTTTTAAAGAATGCCAAGGTCTGAATGCATTAAAAGTGACGTTCAAATGAAAGTCTAACCAATAACTGCACTCTTCTCCAGAAAACAACAAAGATGCCCAGTACCAGAAGGTGAAAGTAAAGCCAGAGCCCATGGAGGTGGACCCGCCCCCTGCAGAACTCACCCCACCTGCCTCTCACCTCCTGGCCTTCAGCACTTTAAGAGCGAGTGAAAAGACTGAGCCAATGAGCAACCTCCCAGAGACGTTGGCGTGTCCCCAGAAAGATCTCTTCTCTCAAGACATATCGGTCAAAATGGCGTCTGAGCTATTGTTCAAATTGTCAGGTAGGGCTTCTAAAGACACACCTGCAGCACACGCTCACAGTATAGCATAGCATGTTTTTGTTTTGACGGTGGACATTTTGAGATACCGGACAATAAACCAAACACGTCTTTCAATTTCCATCCTCCAGTGGCTCGATGGTAAAGTCAAGGATATCTCCCATGTATTGACATCCTGCTTTTTACCTGCATGGCCATGGGAGTGACACTGAGGCGGCAGACAGCAGTTTGTATTGCTAGATTAAGACAGAGCTTTGAGGTGTATTCACCGTCCCCCAGAGAGAAGGCAGATAAGTGTGTTGGAGGTGTGTGAGGCCAGGCTGAAATCTTGTCCAGTTTCTGATTTGCTTCATTTAAATGCCACATAGCCAAACAAGCTTGTTTCAACCCCCCCCCCCCCTCCCGTCAACTTTTCTTGCTCTCACACATATTCACAAATTCACACATTGACAATTTTTCTTTCCCACACTGTCTTTCACGCACACCTTTAAACACTCCCACAAGGCCCCATGGGGAGTGGTGTCTGCACAAATGCCCCCTTCTTCCCTCCTCCCGCTCCTTCCTTCTCTCATTCTCTCTTCTCTCCCTTGACTCGTTTTCAAACATGCCAGCTCAAGCACACTTGGCTGCACATGCCCCCCCCCCCCCCCCACCCCCCCCCCCCCCAAACCCCACTTCCCCTCCTTCCCTTTACATTTCTCCTGTGCGGCATCTCCATGGCAACGCGGAGAGAGACCTCTGTCCTTGGCGAGCAATGTGACAGAGTGGGGTGTTTTGGGGACGGGGTTGCTGTTGGTTTGTGAGGGGGGAGAGCGGAGGATGAGGCGAGTGGAGAGGGCATGGGGGGGGTTACAAAGTATGCCCACCCAGGGCGGCGGGGGCATCGCTGGCCTGGTAGCAGCGACAGCCGCCCCCTTCAGAGCTCGGTTCGAGTGTGAGGGGGACTGGAACCGAGTGGGCTGCTGTCACACAATGAGCAATCAATATGAATTACCCAGAGCAGTAGGACCTCTGAGACACATCAGCAGCAAGGTCGCTCTGAACACTGAGATGATTGCAGCTTTGAAATTCACTTCAGTACATCGCCTTGAAACTCACACATATGGCTCCATTCTCAGTCATTTGGTACAGTGCTCTCTACTGCCGAGTACTGCGAAGGCATCGTCTATACCCACAAGGGCTGATTTGACCACTTTTCCTTTTGCTTAACATTTAGGAAGCTCTTAAAATGATTAGCCAAGAAGATGAAGTAGCAGGAATTTTGAAGGGGATAAGGACTTTGTGTAAAGAAAAAGTAAGCAGTGATTAACACATCTCGTCTCAAACGAAGGCTTGTACGACCCAACCGGGTTTCTTGACAGGATACGCCCCGTACGATACCCAAGTTCCATTTCTGTGAAACATAGCATGAGCCTTGCTCTGGATCTGAGTTAGCCCACAAGGTGAGGCACGGATCAATCATATTGGGCAGTCATTTTACTGCCATTAATCTGAACAACAACTTGCCGAGCCTGCAGAAAGCGAAGCCGGCAGAGTTTTTACCTCTTACAGTTACAGTAAGCGAGTTGATGTAAATAAAGTTTTAAACGATGCGCAGCGACGTTTAACCTTGGCTAATGGCGCGGTTGTACAAAGCTCTTCTTTTTCAAAGGCCCTCTCAATGAGGAGCACGTCTACGGCAGTGCAGGGTTCAGCATCATTTCTGTCTCCCTTTCAGACTTGATGATAGACTGAAGGTAATTCTGTGAAAAATGATGACATTTTAAACATTTGATGAAAGGGAATAAATATATTTCAGAAGACTTTCCTTTGTTTCCACAAAACGTTTAAACGGTTTTACACAGCGAGCACTCAGTAGATGTTCATGATTTAATGGAGTTACCGGATTAAAAAACACATGGAATCAATCTAACTTGTCAGCTCTACTGGCACACCCATGTTAAGCAGAGGTGTTCATTAAGACACCACAATGTTGAGAGGCTCTCTCATACTTTGTAAGATGAAAGAAGAACACATGTACCAGTTGAGTATTGGCGGATTGATTTAATAAGAAACGCTTTAGTTTTAGCCGTGTTGGGCATGGCTGGCAGCGCACAGGCCTTCTGACCCTCTGGGGGGTCAGAAGAAAAACGACAGATTCACCCAGGACGCTCTTTACCTCAACACAGCGTGCTTTGATTCCCATTTCACATTTACCACCTGAGCCTAAACTCACACGAGCATGAGGGTTAGAGGGAAAGGTTCTGGGAAAGATTCACCTCCTCCACAAACCTCCTGCACCTAAAGACAACTTAGAAGAACACATTTGCACTGCCTTACGAACCCACTATGTCATGTAGAAATGTCATTATATGAACACGTTTTCTGAGTTTTTGTTTGTACTTGTTGTCATTTCCAGAAAAAGTCAGCAAAGCCAACAACCACAAAGACAGTAACATGGTTGGAATAAACAGGTAACTACACAACGCCTGAGAAATGCTTAAGTGTATGTATGTGTGCGCTTTTTTGGGGTCCTTTTCGAACGACCAGTAATAGATCACAGAGTTCAACGAACGCCTAAATATGTGGGTGTTTTAATGGCTGACATCATCCTGTCTGTGTTTCAGTCCGTTCCTGGACGACTGCTTCAGACAATCACCCTTTAACTCACGCTCCAAGAGCTCATCCCCCGCAGAGGCCAGCTCCTCCACCAGGGTAGCATTCCACGGTAAGACACACACACACACACACACACACACACACACTTACACATATGCGGGACAAAAAACATCATAGCAGGAGGGATAGTAGAGGCACATGGAGAAATCAATACCCATTGTGGAAAGCCAACTGTTGGAGAGCCATCATGTTCCTCCTGTTGTCTGTAAGGAAAATGGCTTCACTTTGATGAATAGTTTGAATGAAAAAAATCATTTGCTCTGTTGTTTTTGTTTCCTTCTTTGAACATAGAAATATATCATTTTTAATGTCCTTGAGAGTCCTCATAGTACTCTACATGAGTCTTATTGGTAAGAAACTCAAATTCACAGATGGATTATTTGTTTCTATGGAATTTGAATCAACAGAAAGGTTTTTTTTTACGTGTCAGTCTGAAAGGAATATAATCATATTGGGATCAGAAATCCAGTAACAGTCAGTATTGCTGCACTATAGTCAGTCATTCTCTGGACAAATGTCCAAATGATATATATATTTTTATCTTTCTTAAAAAGGAAAAACATAGTTCAGTCCTCTGTAGATAGTAGAACATCCACATAGGCTGATAATCTCATAGGTACTGTACATGTGTGTGCATTTCCTGGCCCTCCCCGTGCACACATCATACACACCAGTTAGCCCCCTCTACCTGCTTCATATTTAGCACTCTGCCTGGCCTTTCTGAACCCTCACGCATTTCCCCAGCCTAAAGGCTCTGCCCAGGGCATCGCCTGTCTCCCTCTTGTCCCTGGCATCCCAGAACTTCCCTTCATGTTTCTTTGACAGTGAGAGATCCAGAGGTTAATTAGCTTGTGCCAGCTTTGCCTGTCCCTGCCAGTTAATGAAAATCTGATTGGCTTCTGGGTGTCAAGAGTGTGTTGAAAGCTAATTCGCCAAGGCCTTTCCCCTGTGTGTTTAAGCTTCACATCCAGCCTCTGCTGCTTTCTCCTCTCACACTTGTGGTCATTTTTTTCTTTTCTTTTACTTCTTTCTCTCTTTCCGTTTGTGCCCGTCTCCTCTAAATCCTTAGTTCGGGCCGTCTTCATTTTCTGTCCTTCCCCCTTTTATCAACTCCTGATCTAAAAAAATTGTGAAGAGCTGCTGGGAGGCAGAGCTGGAGTATAGAAAAGAGATTTTTTCTGAATGTCACAGTGGACAAATATATCCAATTAGCAGCTACAAATGGAGTGTGAATGAATGAGTCCTGTGGTCTACCTGCTCCTTTGAGCAGACAGTGAGCTGCATGTAGCTGATGTGTTGGAACTACAGCAGCTGAACTTTAGATCTGCATTAATATAAGTATATTAATGCAGATCTAAAGTTCAATTTTCTTCAAGCTTGAAAGGAAGCGTTGGGGTTTGGAGTAGGATTTTGTCAGATGCCAGTGACTTCAACATCTTCTCGCTCCAGTTTGGGGTTCTGCACACTCCGTCATTGCTTGTTTGTGTCTGACTTCTCCACTCAAAAAGAAAAGCTAATTAAACCATTAACCACTTCAAGGCCATACACCCTAATTGGCTTAATCATCAGTGCGTTTGCTGGGTCATGGCTCTCGGTTGCGGCTGTCTGACTTCTCATCGCCCTGTGTGACTTAATCATCCCTGGTGTCACTTGAGAGCTGGACAGTTCATTTTTCTTTCCTTTTTTTTTTTGGGCTGTATGCTACTACCACAAAGCTCCTAAGACAGTTGTTTGTAAAAATAAGACGTGCACTGAGTCTGGGGGAGAGTCGTTCCAGAGTCCAGCTTCTACCAGAGGTTAGAAAGCGGTCCAGCTGAATCCATTTAACATCACTTTCAAGTTTGCAGTGACAAAAATATCCAAAACACAAAACTATAAAGCTGACCATAAAGCAATAATAAATAATGTAGTCACTGAGAATGACTAAATCCGTTTTTAATAGTGATTGAAAGGGACTGACTGTAACACTGCTGTGGCTGCCTGAATGCATTGTACGCCGCTCCTCGGCAAACAAGTGAACAGTTTAACAAAGGTGCACAACTTAAATTTACCAGTTTCCATTTAGAGGGCAAAGAGGCAATTAAGTATGTGAGACAGATACAGGGAAAAATGCTCAAGGTTGTGAGTCAGCACAACAGCAGCTGAATGTCTCTTTACACCACCATCTGTTCATTTCCACTGGCCACAAACACTGCCTCAAATGCCAGAAAATATATTTGTTTTTCCTTCTTAAGACATTCAAACCCAAGAAGTCGCTCATCAGTTGGCGAGACCGAAGTGAAGTGCCTGTGCGGGTTTTTAGTCAAGGCCAGCCTGTAAAACCCGAGCAGCACAGACACTAAATAAACATGTTGCTTTCACCTATGGAAGTTCCACAGCACAAGATAAGATAAATGCTCCTTTGTCCCCCTTTCCTTGTGAATCATATAGAGCGTGCAAGTATTTGCAAATTATGTTTTTTTTTTGTATTTGTATCTCTCTTAAGGATGGAAGGAGGCAGGGAGGGGGTGGAATACAATTAGAAGAGCTGTTGTGTATTTATGTTGCAGGCTTTCACTGTAAAGGACTGCAGCGTGCTGTTGACATTAAGAATGCATTTACACTGCAACCCACCTGCGGGCTACATAAGGAGCATCTGTCAAATGGTGGCAGACAGGTTTCAGACTTGTGGGTTAGCAAACGAGCTTACAGTGAAACAGTTGTTCAGCTCCATCTCTGGAACTAAAGTCACTCCAGCCTGCGCCTTTGCAAGTGGCAGAACATTATGGGTTGTCAGTATTTTATATTTAGATATCATTCCGTCATTTTGATTCGCCGATCCCATGAAAAGCTTAACCATACAGTATGTACACATTGTGAGGTTGTTGTAGGATCAAAAATCCGGTAACAACAGACGATTGTCCTTTTTCCTAATATAATATGCATTTTAGCCATTTAGAATTTGTGCGGTCTTCTGTTCTGGCTTCACTGGTCCATGGACGCGTGCACAGGAAGGTCATGTTTGAGCTAAGGGATGCCCGGCTTCCTCCCGTTGTCAATAGACATGTATGTGTGGGTAATTGGTGATTCTAAAATGACCCTATAGGTGAGCGGGGTTGTTTTTGTCGTTTGCGATGGACTCACAGTCCATTCAGGTTGTACTCCACCTCTCACCCAGCGGCAGCCGGGATAGGCTCAAGCCTCTCTGCGACCCCGGAATTAAATGAAGTGGGTCGGGCAAATGGATGGAGGGCACAGTTGCAGCTTTAAAAATATGTGTTGTTGCCACTGCTGTTGCCGTTGCCCTGCTATGGCCGCTGGTACCCCTTTCCCCCCCTTTGTAGCCTTCATGCCCGGCTAACTGCCCTCTATTTGTCAGTGTTCGGCTCATGCAGATGTTTTGCATGCACATGATCTCCTATTGTTTTGTTTTCACTATTCGCTTTTCTCACCCGTCTCTGTCCCTGTGTGCTCTAGACTCCGAGAAGAGTGACGGCGAGCCGGGAAACGGGATCGCTCAGTGGAGGATCCACGAGCAGCTCTTCCCCTGTCCCGTCTGTGGGAAAGTGTTCGGCCGGCAGCAGACGCTGTCCAGACATCTGTCCCTACACACAGGTGAATAACTGGACACACACTCTGTGACATCGTTATCGTCCGTGCGCAGCGCTGCTGCGAATCTACCTGTCCACCTCCCGGCTTACGCGCAGGAGCGAGGTGTTGGTGTTGGTGTTGTGCTTGTAGGTGTCAGGTGCTGGCGCTGCCCACAGTAAATAAATAAGGCTGACCAGACTAGATTACCCTTCCTTTAAAGAGATTACTACCATGATTAGTCTCACTGGGAAAACTGCCCGTCTAATTACCCAGCTAGAAGGATGCCTCACACCGTGTCTGCACACACACACACACACACACACACACACACACACACACACACACACACACACACACACACAGACACACACTTGTAATTCCGATACAGCTACGACTGGTTCGCTCTTTCACTTTCTCTGGCGCGCTCACAGACATGGGAGGCTTCCTCCCTCCCCTGTGACCTGATTACACCACGCTTTCAAACTTGGTCTCTCCTCACTCTCCCCATTGATCCATTCAGCCCCATCAGCGTCTTCCTGCTGCCCGCTCTCAGTCCTTGTTAACTAAAAAAAAAAGAGAAAAAAAAGACAATTGTCCTGCCTGAAAAATTGTGTTTAAACCAAATTAACTCGGAACTAGAAATGAATGCGACCTTCTCGGGATACCAAACCAAATCACCCGAATAGAGAGTCGTGTAAAAAATGCCCCCACACAATTGGACATGCTCTCACATTTTGCGCACACACACGCCACATGACACACACACACACACACACACACACACACACACATACACCATCTGAGAGAGTTGGCTGCGAACAGCTTGGCCACACCACAGAGAGCAGAAGCAGGGGCATATGTCAGCGTGATGGTCTTTTTGGTTTCCCAGGCGACATAAAGGTTGCCTGGCTTCATGTCCTTGGGGCAAATTGTGTGCTTGTTAGTGTGTGTGTTTGTGCGCGTTTGAGGAGGGGGGAGCTCGAGGGTTTACATGTGTTGCTTTGTTTAATTTGTTTTCGGATAAAAAGAAATGTGCTTTAGCGTGGATTCCATAGCGCACCCAAACAAAGGGCAGTTGTGTTTTTGGTGTTTCTCACCTTTTCACTCTGCTGGCACCAAACAGAAATCTTTTGTCACGTTTCCTAGAAATGTGGACAATTCTGTCAAATCCTAAAAATGAATGGCTGTGGTTAGGCATTGAGTAATTAGACTGAGAGCTGCCGCCATGGTTCGGGCACCGAGCACCAACATCTGAGGTGAGGATTACTGTAACGGCCGTCTTCCGTCTGTCTGTGTTGTGCTGCAGAGGAGAGGAAGTACAAGTGTCACCTGTGTCCTTACGCAGCCAAGTGCAGGGCTAACCTCAATCAGCACCTGACCATCCACTCTGTCAAGCTGGTCAACACAGACGCCGAGCAGATCGTCAGCGCTGTTACAGCCGACTCCGCTGAGCGCAAGAACTGCCCTTACTACTACAGGTAGTGATTACAGACCAGCACACCTACTCAGGATGTCACAAGCCACTAACAAGGACTGCATCTGGTGATGATTGAGGACTTTTTTTTTCTTACGATGCTTCTGACTGACGTGTATCTGCAGCCTGACACCATTTTATTTTCTATTTTGTCAGTTATTTGCATGTTATCAAAGGAATAGTTTTTTTGGGGTCTTTCTAAAAGTGATTCTTCCACTTCCCTATCTGCCCTTTGAGCCCTTTAAGCTAGAAAAAATGTTAGCCGTAAGGGTGGAAAATGGGTAAGGGTAAATCAGATTTTTCCAAAGTAGACAAGGAGTTTTTCAGGAACTTTAAAACTGACTAATCAATCCGCATTCTTTCCATTTGAGCACAAAAAACCTGAAGTTTAAACATGTTTTTGGTTTCCCTGAAAATACCTGATTTGGGCTTACCTTTCTCAACTCCACAGATTCTGTTTGAAACTTCAGGATGAGTTTAAGACCCATTTTCAGTATTTAGATCTGTCAGTGGCTGGGTTTTTAAACACGTGAAAGAACCAGGGAGCCCTTTTCCTGCCTCCCGTTTTTATGTAAAGCCAAACTAATCCCATCCTGGTTGAGGCTTCATATCTTAAACCTACAGACTTTTTTCACTCTTGTCATCTAATTCTCAAGGCAAAAAGGCAGAAAATGTTGCTCTATAGTCTTATATTAAAGCGAGTCAGTCCCACCTTTTCTGAACTCCAAATGAATTCTGCTTTCAGTCATCTTTAGAAGTCTTTATAAGTTATATTTAACGGAATGCAGATACGCTGCACCACTGACCATTCATCCAGGCTGAATATAACATAAAAGCTGACTGTATCCCTCCTCTTTTTCTCACTATCGTCATTCCTGCATCCTGTCTGTTCTCGTTCCAGCTGCCATGTGTGTGGTTTCCAGACGGAGCTGAATGCCCAGTTTGTCAGCCACATGTCGCTCCATGTGGACAAGGAGCAGTGGATGTTCTCTCTGTGCTGCAGCGTCTGCGACTACGTCTGCATGGAGGAGAACGACATGAAGAGCCACATCAGTACCGGACACGCAGGTAGTGGCAGCTGGCTGTGGTTGAGAGCCGCAAAGATCAGCCACTAACCCATCGGTCGCTCTGGATGGTGCTTCAGGCTCCCAGCTCTTTGGTTATTTTTGTTGAAGTCAGAAAAGCAACGAGAGAAAAGCGCTGCTTTCAGCATAAGCCATTTTAAAATAGCCAAATAGAATCAGAATCAGGCGATGGCTTCCTATCTTCAGCACTTATACAACTCAAAGCTGGATGGTAAAGAAATACGGGATTTAGCTTCTCCAAAATGATTTATGGAGTTATTTTGAAAATTACTCACACATGTAAGAGTGGGCGGGGGCTTACACACTGTGGTGCTTGTTCGTGGCTCAGAATAGAAGTGCAGTGCAATGTTTGGACAGTAACATTCTCTGTTGTTTTCATTTTGTTCTCCAACACATGGAGTTTAAATTTAAACAATCAGCTCAAACGGCAGAATTTCCGCTTTTTTTGTATACACACTGTACATCTCTGCTTCGAGACATTCAGTGACCATAACCAAAATAAACTGTTTAGCATCACAATTAAGGCTACTTAATGGACAACTAATTGTCTGGATAGGTTAATGGAAACAGTTCTTTTCTGGATTGGGTGAACTCAGTGTTTTAATGTCTATTAAATGAACCCAACTTGAAAACGGAAAGAAATCTTCAACTCAGGCTAGTTATACTGACATCTATGGGTGTCTTTTCTACAGCTCTTTATATTTCTTTCGCGAGAAATAATTGTTAATTTCTGACCCTTGCATGTAGACTAAGGTGGTTTGAGAGGAGAGACAAAACGGTTTTGGACAATCACGGCTCCTCCAATCGACTGCCTTTGGACTTTCAGAGCCGCTGGTCTGAACCCCTGCTGGTCGATAGGAGTGTTTTTGTCTAAAACTGCTTTTGTCTAGTTAGTTGCTGACGTTTGGCTCTTCCGCTGAACTGCACGTGTGTTAGTTTTTGCTTTGTGTTCAGTATGTGGGTGGGTGGGTTTGTCCGGCCCAGACAGCCAGGGGTCTTTCATAGGCCACGGCGGCTTTGTTTATCTGAGAAGGTTGGCCCTTATCATGCCTGAGGGTGAAAAAAAAAATCAATAGGCCCCGGGTCCTTCAGAGAGGAGCTGGGTTTACGATGCCACTGTGGCCATCTTTTAAGTCTTCCCAGAGTGGAGTGGCATTTATCCTTGTCTCAAGACAAGATGGACTCCACTCCCAAATGCACATATGCACAGGATTGCTGCTTCTACCCAACCTAAAGTCCCCGAACACACACCTAGCGATCGGTGTAAAAATGCACAGCCCTGTTTAGTGGGGTGAGTCTAGTGAGTTGGCTTCTTCATTCTGTTACCAGACCAGGAATGTTTCCAGACTGGAACCAGCATGGCTACTTGGTAACACGGTCCCACACCTTCAGAGTGGTGTCTGCTTGTGTCCTTTGCTTTGATATTAGCCTTGGGGTCGTTATGAGAGAAGGAAAGGAGATGATAAACTCTGCAGCAGAAAAGAAAAAACAGCAGGTTTGTGCAAAGACCATGCTGTGAGGGACCCTGATGCGTTTTGATTTAAAGGAGGGCAATTATTCCTTTTCCATTTTAGCACAATGTCGCTGTTGTTAAAAAGCCCATGCGCTGCATGTGTACATCGCCCTAGGTTTTTCACTTTTTTGGGTTCCTCTATTAAAATGATAGGTCAAGCATTTCAGGATTCAAGCAGGGTTTTCCTCCTCTGTTCCCTCCCTTCTGAGTAAATGCCCTTTGTTGAGCTGTGCCCTGAGACGCTGCCGCCATCTTAGCTCCCTCAGCCATGACCTGTGCTCCTCGGCGCTCCATCCTGCCTCCTCCCCTCCTATTTCCCTCTCTCTGCCCTGTAAATTGTGGACTTAGAGAACAGGATCAATAAAAGCACACTGCATCTCGATTGGGCTTGCAGCGCGGCCTGAATGGAGGCTGTCTTTTCTATTTTTTTTTCTGTTTCTTTTTTTTGTTCCGCCTGGGTGCTTGTCAGTGAGCGTGTGAGTGTAGGTAACATTGGGAGGTATCAGAAACAGATTTTCTTCACAATGCACGGCTCACAGTTTGAGCAGAAGTATTCTTTTTTGTTTTGTTCTTCGAATCGATTCTGGGACAAAATTTCACCCATTAATCCTTTTTTTCATACTGATCACCACATCTGGCTTTCTCCCATCTTGTGTCCAGCTTTGAACTCGAGAAGTCCCCTCAGCGAGACCAAGAGCACCTCATCATCTCTATCAGCCCTCAGCGACTCGCTCAACAGCTCTGAGGGGGGAGACCTCATCCACGGTAACGAAGAACTCAAGAGCCTGCTAGCTCCTCCCTCCTCAGCAGGGAGCCAGGCCAGCTCCGGAAGTCACTCAGGATCAGGGACCGAGGACAAGGCCGACAAAGGCAAGAGATTGTCGGAATTGTGAACCAGATACAGTCGATGTGTGAAGTGCACGAAAAAGCTTTCGGTTTAAGATATTTCTATTTACAATCCCATAATGCCGCATTCAGAGAGTCTAAAACCGTCTCTGTTTGTTTATTTGTCTTTTGTCAACCCATAAAACTCATCTAATCTGCATCGTGAGCATAAGCTTTTGTCAGATTTGAATTACATCGTGCCAGAAAAGGTTCAATCCAAAGTTTAATAGCAGATAAACCTCACGCATCATCTTCAGAAAGCACACACAAACGGAATAGAAAATAAAATCCACTAATCTCTCAGTGAGAGAAAATCCTGTGTTCATAACAGGCTCTGTTCCTCACAGTAAGCAGCTGATTGAAAACATACTTTCTCTGGCTGAACTCTAATGGAATCTAACTTGTCTAACTTCTGGGGCTCTTCAAAAGCAAAACACTTGTATCAAGATGAAGCATTGCCACCGAGATGATTCCAGGCCCATTGCATAACGCCTCATACCAGTTCCAAAGTTCATTTACTGTGACTTAATTCAGACTTTTATGTCTCCTCTCTTTAAAGCATGTTTTAACTCGCATGTTTAACACTTACAAAACATAGGGAATGCTTTCGGGCAGTCACAGAATGGTGTCCGAAGCTGTGCAGGGATTCTCGAAAGTCTGGGAAATCAAACTACTGATGATGCTGTCAGGTCTATCTCAGATTAAGCTGAGGACTACAACTATATAGCAGAAGGTTTTTGTTGTACCTCGGAGTGTGAAGTCGTCATCGGTGTGGTCATTTACCAGTTAGGAGGACCTAGCAGAAGATCAGGATTTATTGTGGGATTTGCAGGATCTTGTGTTATTAGAGCCTGAGCCCAGTGTGGACTCAAATCCACAGCCTCTTCTTTTTTCTTTTTTTTTTTTGTCAGGAACTGGGTGGGCTGCTTGTGAGATTCCACTGCAGCCAAAATATCAAATCGCTTAAGACGTTCAGAGACCGATTAGCCCGGTCTTGACTGGCCTTTTCCTCCTTGCCCTCTCTCCCTCTCTCCAGGTTTTGAGTGTGTCTTCTGCAACTTTGTGTGCAAGACGCGCAGCATGTACGAGCGGCACCTGCAGATCCACCTCATCACGCGAATGTTTGAGTGCGACGTTTGCCACAAGTTTCTCAAGACGCCCGAGCAGCTGCTTGAGCACAAGAAGTGCCACACCGTCCCCTCCGGAGGGCTCAAGTAAGGAAAGCAAGTACAGACAGAGGTTCCTAACTACACCGGCCCCCCCCTCCCTCCCCCTTTCAGTTCATCGCACACACCCACAGACCCACATCGGTTATTTAAACGATCCAAACTGAAGCCTGAGCTGGAATGTTTCAGACATTTCAGTGTTCTCGGCTGTTCTACAGTCACTAGTTGTTGTTTTTTTAGTATGTTAAACGCTGGATGTAGAGGGGAGCATTATAGTATTAACACCAGGCTAGTCGTACATTATTACTGTCATTACTTCTAACCAGAACAGCATTTAGATTTACGCCCCTCTGCAGAGGCCACTAACCTGTTGTGCCATTTATGGGGGGAAAAAATGCCTCCTCCTTTTTTTCTCTCTTTTTTTTTCGCAAATCGGACAAACGGCACAGATCACGTCTGGTCAAAGCCACAGAGAAGGCACCTCTAAACCTGGATTCTTTGGACAGGTGAACAAAGACGTACAGTCGGGTTTGAGGATTATTTTTAGCCGTGTGGCTTTGATCAGTTAACCTCACTTTTCTGTTCATTATCCGGTGCCAGCAAATTAAATGAAACAAGCTGTAGTTTTGCTGCTCGACAGCTTCTCTTGGCAAGTTCTGTCTTATTAGGCAGTGGTCTGTGGGTCTGCAGTGGCTGTTCTGAACAGAAGGGAGAGTGGAAAGGAGATGGAAATGGACCTCCCCTCGGGGTCTGTTGTTTCTCTGCCCACAGCTAACAGACATGCCAAAGAAAAATATCAGAGGAAAACTGTTTTCCAGAATGCTTCTCCCCCCTAAACACAGACACTTATGATACTATAATCTGTGTCTGATTATATAAAATCTGTTTGCACAGCTCCAGTACCGTCACTTCTGCATCATACCAATACATATTCAATTTAAATGCATATTTTCTAAAACTACAAGTACATGTACATTGGATATGTGTTTCACATGAATCTATTCTGATAAAGGCAGCTGTGTTTTGTAATTATAAATCCAGCTTTAGTCTCCACACATGCCTCCCTCTCCATCTCCATATTCCAGTCCCAGAGGAGCCTTTGTTGTACTGTGACACATTTTTTGTACCATTTCAGGCCTGTCAAGCTAACTCAATCTCATGGAGTTACCTCCACATGTCGATGTTGGGTCGGGTTTTAACGCGATCGCTGAAAATGACTTCTTACACAGTCCTTGCAGAGAATTTAAAAAGCCTCCAAATCGTGGGACGATATGCAGGAAATGCAGTTCTTGAGGATTCATTTCAAGCAGCACGAACCATGTTTTTGTTTCCACGTCGTTCACATACCTCCAGTCTGTGCATGTGCAGAACCATTGAAAATCATTATGACTGCCACCTCATCATGTCATGCACTAAAGCCTTTGTGACATACAGTTTTCTACTTAGCCGTCGGTGGGGTTAGCATGTGCTTAACTAGCCCAAACGTCTGAGAGAGGTAGCATCTCACTGACTGAAAGCAGGCAGCTGCCAACAACGTTACACTGACCTCTACCATTCAGACAACCAGCGTATAACCGAAACACAAACACGAGAAGCCCTCATAGCGCACAGATCCCCACACAGCATCCTGGTTTTAGCCTAGTGGGTGAACGAATGCAAAGGAGTTTTTACATGTTTCTTCTGTCTGGTGTAAATGCTTTTGAAGGCAGATGGATTCTTTAGAGAACGACTCAGGCCGTAGATGTATTAACTCAAAGGAGGAGCAGAGAGGGACTGAGCTCTTCTGATGTTTTTATTTTGATACTGACATACCTCGCTGCACTGACACTTTCATGCCATGTGGGTTCTACTGCAAATTCTGCTAGCTGGACACTGGGGCTGGGCGGTAGACCAACTTCTAACTTCACATCTGTATTTTTAAACAAGAGGTTAAATCGGGCAAACTCTATTTATACGCATTTGATGTCACATCGTCGTTCTGCATGAAGCCTAATGCGTTTCTCATTAGAACGGCCCTCACCTTTCGGTAGAGCACGTTATCCAACCTTCTCGTGGGAATTAGACCTGTAAGCACAACCAAAATCTAAATTCTCAAAGTCAAAAGGTGATTTTGTGTTTTTGAATCAGACACGCTTCTGTGTAGTGTTACCTTTATTATTTCAGGCACTATTTCTGACAAACCACCCCCTCTGAAACTATAAACAGGAATGGCTTTGTTTGGAATTGTGATACACTTAAATACACGTGAGATGCTAACATCTGGCACAGCTTGACATTTGACAGAATGCAAATACTTGATATGTAGAATTGTCATTAATCAATATCAAAGAAAAATAGCAATGAGTGGAATTGTACGCCGTTCTCCCTGAAAATACAGAGGTCTACTCTTTTTTAGGTCATATCATCCAGCCCCAGTTCTCAGAGTTTTTTCATCGACCTAATTCATCTCTAATGTCAAAAGACGACAGCACCTCACCAGATGTGGAGGGATGTGAACATGTATATGCACATGAGCAATGTGAAGTGTTTCTCAATGTGTGTAGGAGTGTGTAGAGGGGTAGAGAGGGCCTTGACCATTTCGAGGTTTTTCTGAGGTGATTCTGTTCTGCAGGGTTTGTGAAGCGCTTTGGGGCCCAGAGCAGATGAAAGGTGCTATTTAAATGTAAGTGCCACTCATTCCTTCATTTCCCTTCATGTCCTACTGCTCCAGTCTTTTCTCCAGCCTGTCACCCTCCCCTACACACACACATGCCTGATCACCTCAATTCTCCCTCCATTAAACTGCCACACATACCGCCTTGAGCTCACAAAAGCTGTACATTACACACAGTTTTCCTTTATCTGTCCTCCTCTTCATCATTTTGTGTTGATGTCAAGGTGTGTTACATGGTTTTGGACCTACTTTCTTTTTCAACTGTCCTCTGCTTGTGTGTGTGGTGTCTCCCCCCCCCCCTTACCCCACCCTTCCTGCCCCTTTTTGTGGCGTTAACCAGGTGCCCTTTTTGCATCTACTCCACCAATCGTCCAGCGGCCATGGAGTGCCACCTGAAGACGCACTGTAAGATGGAGTACCGCTGCCGCATCTGCCAGGGCCTGTGGCCGGACCAGGCCTCGCTGGAGGCCCACATGCGGGGGCACCGCTTGGGCAACCACTACAAGTGCGAGCAGTGTGGCTACCTGTCCAAAACGGCCAACAAGCTGATCGAGCACGTGCGCGTGCACACGGGCGAGCGGCCCTTCCACTGCGACCGCTGCTCGTACAGCTGCAAGCGCAAGGACAACCTCAACCTGCACAAGAAGCTCAAGCACGCGCCGCGCCAGACTTTCGGCTGCCGAGAGTGCCCTTTCACCACCACGCACCCCTTCGTCTTCAGCCGCCACCTCAAGAAACACCAGGGCGGAGGCCCGGGGGCGCCGGCCGGGGGTCTGGGAGGAGGAGGAGAGGAGGTGGAGGAGGAGGAGGAGGAGGAGGGGGCGGCGGCGGGGCGCCCGCAGGGCTTTCTGCTGGGGGGGGGCAGCAGCAGCCCCCTCATGAGCCTGACGGCGTCTCAGGCGCTGCGGTCAGTGGCGCTGTCTCTCACCCTGGCCAAGGCCCCGCCCACCAACGGCAGCAGCAGCAGCAGCCCCTCCCTCTTCCCGCCCTCCTCCCGCCACACGCCGGAGCCCTACAAGAACTACGAGCGGGCCCACCTGATCCCCCTCACCACCCTGTTCACCCACAACCGCCGCTTCACATTCCACTCACACCTCCACTCCAGATGGCGGCCAGCCACGTCTCCTCTCCTCTTCTTCCCCAGCGCAGCATCCCCCTCTCTCTCGTCCTCTTCACCCTCCTCCCACAAACACTCCTTCCTGGCCTACCTAGGACTGATGGAGAGGGCCAAAACTGTCTGACCTCGCCCACCTCTTCTCCTCCACCCCCCCGGCTCCCGCTCTCTCCACTTACTCCTCGGACGGTGGCGTAAATAACACTTGACCTCTGCGATGGGAGCAACGTCTTTTCCAATCAGACCAGCAAAATAAGCTGGACCAGAAAAACATATTAAAGAAAAGGAAAAAAAAAAAACATTTATAAGAGAAAAACGCTGTACATGCTAAAATGCATTTATATCAAAAAGCTGCTTTTCTTATCAGTTCTATCAATTGAATTATTACAACTTCAAGTACTACCCTCTATTACCTTTTTTCTGTTTTTAAGCATCTGAATGACCTGGACCCTGTCGCTTTATCTGATGAAACTAACGTATCTCAGTTTTATAGATATTTTTTCTTCAGTCGTTTGACGAGATAAAAAAAAACAAAAAGCTGAAAAAGACTAAACAAACCTTGCAAGTGCTACATTTTAGTGCATTTTTGTCCCTCGCTATTATGCATTGAAATAGCATGCCTGTTTCTGTGTTTCAGCTAGCTTTGACGTCATTAGGAAGCTGAACTCGAGATATCCTGAAGTGTTAGCGGTGCAATGTGGACAGAACCAATGAAACGGAATGCTTTTTATTGAAAAAGGCACGTTTCCAAAGCAACGCCTCAGACCACCACTTACTTATTTATCAACCGTGTACATAGTTTTGTAGCCTTCCCTCTTCCCATGTTTTTGAGTTAAGTTCTTTTTTTTTTCCCCTTTCATAATGGTGAAACCATGTTGTGCGTTTTTGCTGACTGATCTCACTTCTGTCTCAGAATCAATGGAACATCAATGGATTGTTAGATCGTTCTAATAGGGTTTTTTTTTTTTGGTAAGCTCAGAAAATAAGCTGTGATCATGTAAATATCTGAATCTGACCTATCGTTGGAGGGTATAAAAACCATATAAATGGAAAGTATTCCTGATGCATTTTGCATTCACGGGTTAATAAGCAGACAAATCTTGCCAGGGTTCCCTCACATTTTTCCAGCTTTTTTTATTTTTTTCCAGCCCAACGATTTTATACTGACAAGAGTCTTTTGGGAATAGGGAAGGTACCTAAGAGTGCCCCTCCCCTACACGTGAAAAAAAAACCTGCTGCCTCAAAGGGAAAATGGCAGCCAAGCAAATGACACTCCCCTCGATAAGGATGGTCTCATCTCATTAAAGAATGTTTGGGGACCCTTGTTCTAGACAGCTGATGTGTGACTGCGAGGAACCGTGTATTCATTATTTCTGAGACCAGGTTGATATTAGCTCGGCATCACACGCAGAACTGCGTCTCACGCCCTCATATTTAGAAGAGATATATGAGATAACTGTTTTGTGGAGGTGACCCTCTCTGGGTTAGCAAGCTACCCACAGCCAGGGTAACCGCAGGCCGATTCAATGGTGCTTTTTGGAGCTTTTTGTAATTTTTGTGTACAAAAAAAAAAGAAAAAAATGTTCCAAAATGACTTGAATGAATGTATTTTTGTTTATGTACATGAAAAAGAAGTGATACAGAAGTGTGGACAGGGACGTCTTCTGTGCTGTTTAAGACGGGGAAGTTAGTGTGTTTGGTGGCCTTTCTGTGTCTTTTTCTTTTCGGATTTGTTTGTGTCTTTTGGTTGTTTTATTATTTGGACTTTTTTACTGAGCCTTTTACATCATATTAATAATTTTCTACTAACATTTCATAGATAACCCATTGTGAGAAAAGCTCCCGTAGGTGCAATGAAGAAGCAGGGCCGTACTCTCGTACGGCTCTGTGTTCGGCGGCACCGGCTTCTGTTGGGCTGGCAGATATGGTACTGTTTTCTGTTCCCCCTCCTCCTCCCTTCTGTCAACCTTTTACGTTTTAATTGCACTTATTGTGGTTACTCTTCAAGCCAAAAGCACTTAATCCTTTTGTTTTCCGTTTTTTTTGCTTTCGCTAATTACATTTTTTTTTTTTTAAGTGCAAACTTAGATCCGCCAGGTTTCCATGATATGTTCCTGGAGATGACTCAATCACCACCCCACAGTTTGTAGTCATTTCTGGTGGTGCAAAAGGGTCAGCCTCTGTGAAATTTGAGAAAGTAATTGAACACAAATTGCATGAATTAGACAGTAGAGGTCAAGCTCCCCCCTGGGAACTAAAGGTCCCAGGCTAAATTGTTTTAGCCAATTTTGCACAGTGCTGCACTTTGATTATGAGAATATGTATTTATCTGTAAGAAGCTTAAACAAAAAAAAAAAAGTTTGTTTCACAAGATAAGGCAGAGTATTTCAAGTGTTTCATTTTGAAAAAAGCTTTATACTTGTGATGGATTGCGCTTGTGTTCTTAAGTGGTCTTCAAGCCAAAAGTCCTTTATTTCTAATGGGATTTTGTTTTGTTTTTTATTTTATTTTCCTTGTCCTTTCCATTCGTTTATTTTACTGATGCATTTTTAAGTAATGTTTTTTTCTAGTCAAATCGAGTTTTAAAAAAAAGAAGAAAAAAAACTAATTTGGAAGAGATGGTGAATTGTTAAGACCAAACTGCGTGTTAGGATGGAATCCGTCTGGTCCTGCTCTGGAGCAAAGCCTCGCTAGTCCTCTCCCCTTCCACCCGGCCGTTTGTTTAATCCTTTTTACTCCCACTCTAGCGCGCCGTTTCTGGAAAGAAGGGAGCATCCCTCCCAACACGCATACACACACACACACACACACAAACTCTCTCCTCGTACTATCTCTGTTATCTTTTATACTCTAGTGCCACTTGGTGGAAGGAAACCACCTGAGACTTCTGAGAATGAGTCAAACTAATTATCAGGGTCCAGTAGAGAAAATTAGTTAGAGATCAAAAGAATGTGTCCACCCATGACACCTTTTTCAAATGTCTGCCTTTTAAATCCAACGTAATCATGAATGGCTGCACTTCTTTATGCCCCCCCCTTCCCTCCTGAGTTCGGGTGTAACGTTAAAAAAGCTAACGGGGCTCTCTATCTGTTGGACGACCAGGATTTTGGAGCACTTACCCGGTTTGTTTTTGCCCAGCTGTGCGCAGCGCACTGACCTTTAAGCTTGACTACCTTTACAGCACTTCAGAGTATGCATGACATTGTCCTCTCTGGTCCTTTAGCACTTATTTGTGTTGGAAAACTAACTCCCATGGTTAGCGTTTATTTAGCCTCACACTGCACTGTCTACAATCAGTTCGCTTTATGTTCGGCTGCATTTCATGATTAGAAAAAAAAAGGCTCAACTATCTTAACTTTTGGCACTTGTTAAAGATTGGTATGTGCTGTACAAAGCTTTTTTTTATTACTCCATTGTTAAGGCTGTACAGGGTTGTGACGATAACTGGTAAATAGATCATTTGTACTTTTTTGGTTTTGTATTTGTTTTCTTTGTTTGGCATTATTTTATGTTCAACTTGCCAGATCTAAATGTAACAGGATTTGAAAGTAAAGCTTACATCAGATATTATGTCCGTTGTCTGTCTTTTCTTTCTCCCTAATTGGTGGATGAGGTTTTCCATGTGATCACAACACATAAACCGAGAGTGGCAGGTCAAATCCACCTCTTAGCCACCTGCAAGGAGTTGAGAAACACGTTTACGTAGGATTCAAGTGAGTATTCTGTGCTTGGAGCTGATGCCTTAGAATAAGAGAGAATGAGCAAGGATTTGAGCTTTTGCCAAAGGCCAGTTGTGATGGCTGTGCGGCTGGCTGGCAGCATCTCCACAGCTCCAGTGGGACGTTACGGGTCTGAAGTGGTCAGAGGAAGGAAAGGCTGGTGACAGGGTCAGGGACGGCAGAGGCTCAGTAGCACGCCGGTCTGCCCACCATCGCTCGCTCACACAGAAGATGAAGTTTAGCTCAGACTGCTTACAAAGGTGATGCCACTTCCTCCAGGAAGTGTCTCAGCCCGCCATTCCCAGCAGTTTTATGTGCATGGGACTGTAGCTGAACTTTGGCTGCTTCCAACATGCCTGCACTGGTACCAGTGGAGGCCGGATGAATGAAAAAACGCGAGGAAAGTGTAACGTTTTGGGTGACGTCGAGTTGGGAAACCTGTGATATTACCATTCATGTAGATGAACTAACTACCTAAACGTTAATGCTGCATTTAAAGAGAAACATGTATATAAAAAAGACGTTCTGTTGTTTATTCACTGAAAAACACACATAAGCATAGTTCAGTTGATGAATTATGAGTAACTGAGTATAGCCTTTATGTCAAATGTTCACACCAGGCAAAAATATATGCCTTTTTTTTCAAAAAGAAAAAAAAGCAGCTTTAACTCCAATTTTTTTTCATGGATTTCAATAATACATTATTGACAAGTTAACCACAGCTGCTTTCAAGCTGTTTTTCATTCTGTCATTAATCGACTAGATGTCCAAACTACCCTCGGCGTGGTGCACAGCTATTTCTATCTGCATGCAGCATTCTGTTTGAGAGCTGGAATCCCTGCCATTAAACTGATTCACACATCACGTG